GAGTCACGGGGAAGGTGGCGGCCCCAGGCCACTTGCCTAACCCCATGGGTTGCCCAGCTGCTCTGTCGTCAGGACTACTTTGCTTGGAAGGTGGGGGGAGGTCAGGAGCTTTGAAAGTTCAGAGAACAGGAAGGCACACCCACAGGAAGGTGCGATACTGGGCCCGAGGCTGGGTGGTGCTCTGTCCCCATTTCAGCACAGGGGCAACAGAGAACCCAGAAGGGGCCAGTGAAGGCCCTGCCCGGGGCCTCTCCTGCCTCCTCCCCTCACGGTGGGAAATCACACAACCACAGGAAAAGGCACGAAGAGTGCACACCTAAGTGATTTTGGTCAAAACGAATCCACTTTGTCTGCTCTTCTGCGGACAAGATGGCACCTTATTCCTACCTTCCTGCATCCTCTATGGCAGGGCTGCAAATTGTGGGTTCCCATACTGAGTGAGTCATAAAAGTCAATTCAGTGGGCTGTGGCCAGAGGTGTTTTTTTGGGGTGGTGGTGGTGGTGGTTATGTCTGTGTGTCAACTTGGCTGGGCCTGGTGGAGTGGGTGGGCAGCTGGCGGTAGTTATTCCCCATGATGAGACTGGTAATCAGCTCCATGGTGGGATCTACCACAAGCAGCCGAGTAGATGCCTTTGGGTATGTGATCTGCTTCCTGTATATAAGGAGAAGCCTTGGGAATGGTCTCTAGCCTTTGGCACGCTTGGGCCCTGCATGTAGCTGTGTCATTGTTCAGCAGCCTGCTATGCTCTGCCGACCTTGGGACTTAAAAGTGGACTTAAGTTAATGGCCTGCCATGTGGTTTGGTAAGTCGGGACTGTGCCTTTTGACTTGTCAACCTTGGGGCTTCTCAGCCTCAGCAGCCAGCAGCTGTCTGAGTGAAGAAACGCCTCTAGCTCCAGTGGGCCGGGAGCAGGAGGCGGAGCTGGACCCTAAGGATGAGGGGCTTTCCCTCAGCCTCTAGAGCCTGGCACTTTGAACCTGGACTAAAAGCCTCCAAACTGTGAGAGAATAAACTCCTGTTTGTTAAGGTCATCCCATTTGTGGTATATTCCTGTCAGAGCGGCACTAGGGAACCAGACCGGGAGCGGGGGGGCGGGGGGTAATGTGGCCGGGAACAAAATTTAAACTGAAATATTTGGGAAATGTGAAGAAGGTGGTGTGCATCTGATTATGATAAAGATAACTGTTCCATGGCTTTTAAAATAAACAAACATAAAAGAAACCAAACCTGCTGCCATCGAGTTGATTTTGATTCATAGTGACCCCCAGTGGGTTTCCAAGGTGGTAAACCTTTACTGAAGTAGATTGCCCATCTTCCTTCCATGGAGTGGCTGGTGGATTCGAGCCACCAGCCTTCTGGTTAGCAAATGCCTTAGGCACTGTGCCACCAGAGCTCCTTAAACAAACATATAACTGGGGTGAAAACGGAACAGAAGAGTGGCAGGGAAACATTCTTTGGTTTCACAACCTAACAAAAGCCCCAGGTGATCAAGATGAATCCATTTCTGCACAAAAGATATAGACAACAGAGGCAAATACATGCACAATAATACTGCATTACCAGGGGCACTAAATGCTAGGCTATGGGTAAATGCATAGACAGGTGAGAAGATCAGGGTGGGTAGGCGAACAGGAATGTACCCAAGACCAAGGATAGATTTGACTGAAGACATTCTTACACACGTACTTGTGCTACAAAATTGTCCACATACATTACAGAAGTAATAGATGAAAGGGTTGGAGCAGCTTGTCAGAGACAATCAAACACCTTGAGGGAGAGAGTCACCAGGCCCATGGGCTCAGGACCATAGTCTTGGGGGACACTATGCTCAACTGGCACAACATAGTACATAAAAAAGTAGTTTCAAAACCTACTTTGGCAAGTAGCAACTGGGGTCTTAAAAACTGTCAAGTGGCCAGGTAAGATGGAACTATTGGTCCTCTCTCATCTGAAGCAAAGAAGAGTAAAGAAAATTGAAGTCCAAAGATATGATGGACCCTGCAGACCTCAGCCTTCACCACCCCAAGACCAGAACTAGATGGTGCCCAGTTACCAATGCCAGCCACCCAGAAAGGGATAAAAATTGGAGACCTTCCATGGAGTGGGAGGAAAAATGTGGAACAAAATTAAAAAACACAGAAATGACCAGAATTACTAATCAGAGGGAGACTGGGGGAACGAACACCTGAGACTATGGCCCCAGATTACTCTTCGGGCCTGGAATTGGACTCCCTCCTGTGAATTAGCTCAGCCAAACAGCCGAAAGACCTACAAGCAGAACACCTTCCCAAGGGAGATGCACCCCCTAAATCAACCAACCATGATACATCAGAAGGGCAGCATTAAAGACAGACAGGAATGCAAAGACAAGAAGGGCATAGGGAAAGGATAGTTACAGGGAAGAGATGGGAAGAGAGCTTTTTTATGGTTGGGTACTGTAATCTGGGCCATGAAACCAATGTATGTGAACTGTTGAGTGTAAAACAATTCTTTGTAAATTTGTACCCAAATCACACACACACACACACACACACACGAAGAACGTATTTAAAAATTCAAGCCACAGATGAAGAAAGGGTGATCCTTGTTTAGCAACCAATGCCCAATTTTCATTCTGACTGTACTTCCATTCCAATGTGTGACAAGAAGAGATAAAAACTGAGGACTGTTGCGTAGCTGGCCAGCAATGCAGGATCCCCTCCCCGGGCTGACCCATGCAGCAGGGGCAGGAGGGGGCCAGGTAGGCTGCTCTGCAGCCCGGGCTGCCCAGGCCGTGGGGCACGTGGGCATTCCCGTCTGGAGCTCAGGTGTGAGCACGCGGCGGCCTCCAAGTGGAGGAAGGGCCAGGCCACCCAAGGAGGCCTCTGGACTTTGAGGCCCGGCCTACCTACACCCCAGTGCAGCTACCTGCCAAACAGATCCTAAGAAAGGCATTTGTTCTCACGGGTGTCACTGTCTCTTCTGGTCTTCTGTACACCAGAAGCCAAACGTTAGACCTGATGGTTTAAAATACAAAACCACCACCCTTCTTCCGCCCAGACACGCGCTCCCACTCATGCCTGCTTGTTCTCCTGCCCTCCACCACCACATTCCCCGCCAGCAGCTGTGGTCAGAAATTTTTAGTGATGTAGAGTAAGAAAATATTAGTTTGCCACGGGTGGCAACGCTAAGTGATGTTTTATGAAACGTCACAGGCACTGCGTTATGTGTGGTCCAGTGAATGACTTGGTGTGGCTTTTCTAGCCATGGTCTTCCTGACTCCCACCAGATGACTGGGTGGAACTATGCAAATGAGGTGCTTGTGGTCCAACAAGGGGATTAGACAGATTGTGAGTAATATAAATAAGGTACATGGCATCCTTGTGGGGGTGGGACCATGCAAATAAGGTGTATGGAACTCTAATGTGGAGATTGGTTAGTTTTATCATTCTGCTAGGTTGAAAATAAGCCTCTGGCATAATGCCTAAGGCATCTGACTGCTAACCAGAAGGCTCAAACCACCAGCCACTCCTCGGAAGGAAGATTGGGCAATCTACTTCTGTAGAGATACAGGTCTCAGAAACCCAGGGAGGGGTCACTGTGAGTGGGATCTGACTCAATGGCAATGAGTTTGAGGGGCAGAAGGGGCAATCTCACTGCCATCGAGAGAGAAGAGCCCAAGGTGGAGTGGAGTGAGATCCCTGCGCTGGACCTCCTTGGCAGAGACACCTGGCTGCGACAACAGAGGAACTGAGAGGCATGAGACGCAGTGGTAGACTTGCCGGCCCCCACAGTGAGAGTTGAGTGCCTTTGGGCAGGCTTGCTGGGAGAGTGGGGTGCACCTAGGTGTACCTATCAGCAGAGCTAAAAGAGCTTTGTAACACTTGTCTAAGCAGGGCAGAGGGTAGGCTGAGAGGCCAAGGACCAGAGAGGTGTGCCTGAGGGTAGAGCAGAGGAGAGACTGTCCTGATCAAATAATTATATCCTGAGAGTGTTCCTGAACCTGAATTGTAATCCGTTACTTCCCTGTTGTTGTTGTTATGTGCTGCTGAGACAGACCTGATTCATAGCGACCCCTCCTTGGGTTTCCAAGGCAGTATCACTACGAACTAGATTGCCCAACCTTCCTTCCGAGGAGTGGCTGGTGGGTTTGAACCACTAGCCTCCTGGTTAGCAGTCAAGTGCCTTAGGCACTATGCTACCAGAGCTCCCGTTACTTCCCTAATAACCCCATAATCATGAGGATTATCTGTGAGTTGTATGTGGCCATTGCAATGAATTATCAAACCCAGCAGAGAAGTAGTGAGTGCCATGGCAGGGACGGCTGGTGTCACAAGTGGCATGTATGGGTGGTGGCATGTCTGGCCTCATAGGCACCAGCCTCTCAGCTGGACTGGTGAGTCTGTCTTCCTCCTGTGAAGTTAGAGGAGGTCAGAAGATGCCACCCCCATGTCAATTTTGCATAATGTAAAACCTATTTCTGGCAGTTACATTAAAGCACTATGTAAGGGGCTGCTTCTGACTGGGAGGGACAGCTTACACAGTGACCTGGGATCTCCACCAGGAGTCGCATGAAGAAAGAAAGCACATGCTGAAGTTCTTTTAAAAGGGAAAAAACCATTCTTTATTCAACGTGTACATCTTCCTGTCCTTTCAGAACCTAATAAAAAAACAACCTTCGTTTCTGCTTATTTAATAATAAAAAAAAAATTCCAAAATCGATCAATCAATCAAAGGGAACTATGAAAACATCGCTTCTGTGCTGGCAAGGGGATTCAACATACACCAAGGAAAGGAGAAGTCGGCCAAAGGGGAGGCGGTGGGTGGGCGGTGCCCTTCCCTCGGAGGGTCTCCAAAGCACACCTGCCCCGGGAAAGCAGAAGGAGCCTTCTCACCGTCTGGAGTAACAGCCCTAATGATCTCAGGGATACAAATCAGTCGCTCTACTTTAAAAACACACACACATCCTATAAGAGCTCCCCCCTGTACTGTCATCAGGGCTCTCGCGGTGACAGGTATTCACAGGGTGTACGTGTTCTTCACCAGGTGTTCCTTGTCGTTCTCGGAGCTCCAGACAGTACGGAGGGTCTGCTCCTGGTTCCTGCGGGCCACCCTGACCAAGCAGACAACAGAGGCTCCCAGGCACAGGATCAGGAGCACTGAGAACAGCCCCGCCAGGATCACCACTGAGGAAGAGACAGGGGCTCAGAAGCTGCCAGGGGCAACAGTGCAGCAGAACGGGGCAGCACAGAGCTCACGGAGGGCCTGGAGGCTGAGCGGGCACAGGATCGGCATCAGCAGCCCTCGGGCCAGAAGCCTCCTGCCCCAACCCTGAAGCGGTTGAGAACCGCTGGGAGATTCCCTCCCTTTACCTACAATACCATTAAGGGAGTTCTTGGAAAAAAGGAGGTAGCGTGCTGTGTACACACAGACTGGGTACTTAACTCTGTTCTTTTGAACAGAAAAATCATAAAGTCTGTATATCCCGGCTCCCTCTCAGGGCAACCTATACAGGAGTCCCACACCAAAAACTGGACCAAACCCACTGCCACTGGGGCGGTTCTGACTCATAGTGTCCCTAAAGGCCAGAGGAGAACTGCCACACAGGGTTTCCAAGGCTGTTACTCTACGAAGGTGGAAGCAGACTGCTTCATTTTTTCACCTGTGGAGTGGCTGGTAGGTTCGAACCCCTGACCTTTTGTTTAGCAGTTGAATGCCTTAACCACTGTGCCACCAGATCTCCTTTAAAATATGCACAGAAGGGTGCAAAAAACACAGAATTGGGCAGCTAACCAAAAGGTTGGCAGTTCAAACCCAGCGGCCGCTCCACAGGAGAAAGAGGAAGCAATCTGCTTCCACTTTCATGAAGATTCAAAGCCCCAGAAACTCTATGGGGCAATCCCACTCTGTCCTATAGGGTCTCTGTGAGTTGGAATTGATGCAACCGGCAGTAAGTTTGGTGTGGAGTGTGTGTAAAAATAAAATATCAAGGTTTTGTGCACACACACACACACACCCAGGAACAGAGAGTGCTGACCCTGCAGGTGGCTGGGGTGGCTGAAGCAGCTGCCTGTGGAATGAGGTAAGGGTGGGGAGACCAGGGCTTATTGGGAGCAGTGCTGGGAGGGGACCCTCATAGTTATAATTGTCCAGGTAAATGTAACAGGATTGCCCCACAGGTGAGTTTTTTTCCCAGGCAGAACTCCGTCTAAGGAATGTCACCTGCTGTGGCAGCTCCCTAGCTCCCTGTCCTCCACTTGGTTATAGACTATCCGACTGGCCATCCCCTCTTTACCTCTGCCCCACTAGCCCTCAAGACCTGGGCTACTTTCTAGGCCAAGCCTGGCAAACCGGGCACCAGCTTCTCTCTTTTCTAGGACAGATCAGATATGCAGGCCAGGGAAACAGGCCAGACAAGGCCAAACCAGTGTGGCAGGTTCTTTGTGCAAACACCAGCAGGGCCAGAAACAAAGAGATGGGACACTCAGTCTCCTTGTCCCACCAGATTTTTTGGGGAAAGCTGCACTGGCCCAAAGCTCACACTGGCCAGGATCACCTCCGCATGCCTCCAGCAGCAAAACTCGCCACCAGCCCTGGCCAGACACAGGCCTGTGTGCAGCCGAGCCCCAGAGGTTCATGGGAGAAGCGTACCCGTCCCCCTGGCTGCCTAGGCAGAGATGGCTTCGTGGATTACTGACTCACTCCCAGACCCAGCGAGATAACATCTGTGTACATTTAATGGTGAGACAGACATCCACCACATGTTCTAAGCTGCTCAGCCATTCTCATGCAGAAACATGACTTTCTACTAGAAAGATAGTTTATAGTGAAGGAAAATTTGTCCAAGACAACGTGAGCCTGCAAAAACACAGCTGAGCAAGGCTGAGCTCAGTGAAGAACGCAGGTGAAAGACACAGGGCAAGAGGCCACTCACCTTTAGAGCCGTGGGGCAGGACTGGGTATGACTGTTTGCCTGCAACAGAGCACACACCTGAGTCAGCTCCCAGTCCTCCCACTCCCTCAGAGGTGCCACCGACCGGGAAACCCCACAGCCTTGGGCCTTCGTGAGGAGCTCTGTCTGAGGGACAGCTTCCAGCTCTTCTGAGGGCCTGAAGGCCTTGCGACCCTGGTACAGGCCTAGGGCACATAACTCCACCAGTCAGGGCCAGAGGTGGCCCTTCCCCACTAGGGAGTAGGAAAGGGGAGGAAAGGGGTCCAAGCCACATTTTTTTGTTGTTGTGAAAATAAGCATTAAGACAAGCAACAGGGGAAGAAGAAGAATCAGAAGTAGAAGGAGGGAATGGTATGTGTAGCAACTGCCTCCACGAACAACTGTCCCCTCTGCCATGAGACCAGAACCGGATGGTGCCCGACTACCACTTCGATCAAAGACACTAGAGAAGAATCCTGATCAACGGGCAAAAATGCAGAAAAGAATTCAAATTCTCGTGGCTCCAGACTTTCTGGAACCACAGAGGCTGGATAAACCCCTGAAACTATTGCCCTGAAGTAATCTTCAAACCTTCAAACCTCCTGAAGTCTTGCTATAGCCAAACAATAGTTTAGCTTAACTAGTAAAGAATACCTGCTTGGACACTGTGCTCCTTTAAGAACCATCTCTACGGGAGCAAACTGACAACAACTTGAAAAATTAGATAGGAAACTGACAGGGCAGTGAGTTTACGTTAACAGGGCCACAAGCACTTCAAGGTGTATGGAACTCTAATGTGGAGAATGGTTCGTTTTATCATTCTGCTAGGTTGAAAATAAGCCTCTGGCGTAATGCCTAAGGCATCTGACTGCTAACCAGAAGGCTCAAGTCAGAAACAGAGGCGAGAATGGCCACACAACCTGAAGAATGTCATCAGTGTCCCTGAGTTGGACAGGGAGAAACTGTTGAACTGGTGCATGTTCTTGACAACAACAAAAAATTTTAAAAATCTATGTAACACATTATTTGCTAATTAAACATTTTTAGCTGTATAATTTAGTGGTACCGATTACATTAATCATGTCAAGTAATCATCACCCTGAAAACCAAAACAAACCCACTGCTATTGAGTTGATTCCGACTCATAACGACCCTATCAGAAAGAGAAGAACTGTCCCTTAAGGTATCTAAGGCTGTAAAATTTTGCGGAAGCCGACTGCCTCATCTTGGCCTAATAGAGCGGCTGATGGGTTCAAACCGCCCGCCTTTTGGTTAGTAGCTGAATGCTTTAACCACTTGCCACCAGAGCTCCCAAATTTCCCATCGTCACAAACAAAAATTCACCTCACTGTTTCCTAAACAAGGGCTCTCCCTTCCTCGCCTGGTAACCGCTAATAAACTCTGCTCTCTCTATTGGCCTATTTTTGTTACTTTATGTAAGTCAGATTACATGATGTTTGTCTTTGATTGACTTTTTTCACGGAGCCTAAGGTTTACAGGGTTCACTTATGCTGTAGCATGTATTGGGACTTCCCTTCTCTTTAAGCCTGAGTGGGATTCCTCTGTGCATGTACCGTATTTTGCTTACCCATTCATCTGTCAATGGGCATTTAGGCTATTTCCACTTTTTGGCTATTTGTGGTGCAGTGGCCCTTCTAGCCATAGTCTCTGTAACGCCAGCAAATGACTGGGTGGGAATGAAGTGCTTGTGGCCCACTGAAGGGATTAGACAGCTTGTTAATAATGGAAATAAAGTGCACGGCACCCGTGGGGGGTGGGACCATGCAAATAAGGTGTATGAAACCCTAAGGAGGGGACTGGTAAAATGGTCCATCCCACTAGGCTTAAAAGGGAGCCCATCTCACTGCACAGGGGAACCTCAAGACTAACAAGAAAGAAGGCAGGAGGGAATGCATCCTTTGGGTCGGGAGTACCTGTATGGAGAGCCTCACACACCCAGGAGACAGAGACAGAGACAGAAGCGAGACATTGGAGAGATGGCGAGAGGCGGCAGCAGAACCAGGAAAGTGGCAGGAGGTGGCGTGGTAGGCTTCCCGGCCCACAGAGCAAGAAAGCTGAGTGCCCTTGGGTAGGAGGCTTGCTGGCAGAGGTGGGTATCTCTGGGCACTCAATAACAGAGCTGAAAGAGCTTTGCAACCCTTGCCCGAGCAGGGCAGAGGCCAGGCTGAGGGGCTGAGGGCCAGAGAAAGGCCTGACAGCAGACCCAGCTGAGGACCCAGCTGTCCTGATGGAAGAACTGTATCCCGAGTGCTCCTGAACCTGAATTGTAACCTGTTACTTCCTTAATAAACTCTATACCTGTAATCACGGTCTGTGAGTTCTGTGTGGCCACTGTAATGAATGCTAAAACCCAGCAGAGAAGAGTGCTGTGGGAGGGACAGCTGGTGTCGGAATTGGTAAAAAGGTTGGAGGGTGGCATGTCTGACCCCTGCCTCACGGGAATCAGCCTTGGGCTGTAAATCTTGATCTTCCCGCCTCCTTGTGAAGTTAGAGGAGGTCAGATGCCTCCAGCACGTAGCTTTTACACTATTGTGACAAGTGCTACAACCAACACTGGTCTAAAGAGTCTGTCTGCCTGTGCTGCTGCTGTCAGGTCTCCTGGGTCCATACCCTAAGAGAACTGCTGGGTCATATGGTAGTTATATGTTTAACTTTTTGAGGAACTGCCAAACTGTTTCCCACAGTGGCTGTACCATTTTGGATTCCCACCATCGGGTAAGGGTTCCCATTCCAAATCATATTTTAAAGGCCCCCGTCTTGGGGACGGGGAGCAGATGGGCATCCTCACGGCAGGGCTCCTTGTTCTCTAGCACGTGCTGGTTTCCCAGGTCTGGCTGACTCACCAAAGCAGTGGTGCATGCACTCCTCCTCGGACCGATAGCTGTTCTTATTGCCCCGGCACCCTCCGTAGATGAAGTTATCACAGGAGTTCTTCTCGGCATCAAAGTACCAGCGTGGGAAGGCTGCGCGGCAAGGTCCGGTGACCGCCTTGGCTGTGCAGTATTCTGGGAGCAAGACAGCCCAAGCACAAGTTAGCAGGGGGGTGGAGAGGAAGCTGAGCGAGAATGCTCTGAGCAGTCACGTGGCTACCGATGGATGGACAAACAGCTCCTGGTAAAGAAACTGGTACATTACCCACGTGGCCAGCCTGGCTCGCTCAATACTCCCCCCCAAGTCTTAGGTGTTGCCACAGGAGCCAGGGCCACGCTGCATGGAGGCTGCTCCATGCCACGCACGAGGCTCTGCTTCACAGGAATTGCCTCATCTGGGAGTCCTAGCGTGTCACTTCACACACGGAGAGTCTGAGGCCAAGGTAGTGACTGACCCCCAGACAAGAGAGAGTCCCCGGGTGAGTTCCAGGACCTGCACTCGATCCTGCTTCTTGAAAGCAAGCCCTCCCACCTGCACACTGTGGCTCCTCCAGCCTCCTCCACCCGGGAGCCGCCATGGTGAGAAAGGTTAGCAAGCCTCACTCTGAAATCCCTTCACGGAAATGCTCCAGGGTGTCTCAATTTCCAACTAAGAAAACATGTTTTGCCCCATGTAGAAACATTCTTAAAAAGTTGTTACCTTCATAGTTGAAGATATCACTGGGGAGGTCATCCGCATCCTGCTGTCTGGGAACTGAAACACAAACGTGTCAGAGGAGCTGGGACAGACACAGGCACAGGAGGGGCAGGGGCGGAGTCGAGAAGGGCCTGCGAGGGCGTGTGGACCCTCTGGAATCTGTGAACAAGGGTGGGGAGTCCCCCCAAGTCATGTGGACTTGACAGCACATGGAGTGCGAGAGGGGGAGGCTGGAACGAGCTCCAGCCCCATTGCCGGGGTGACAAGGACGAGCCTTGTGACACGCTGACACAGAGGCCCCCTCACTTTCCTGGGGACATTTTCTGCCAAAACAGAATGGAAGCCTGAGTTGTCGGGCAGGTGCTCCAGGGCTGTGGGTGACCGTGGAGAGGCCAGCGAGGGAACACACGGTGAAGCCAGGTGAGGCAATGGCTGTGACCCTCCCAGGATCTGGGCCCACAAAGCCGGCCTCTTGCTGGCCACCGCAGCAGTCTTCTGACCAGCCAGCGAACCAAAACGCTCACTCTCCTCGAGTAAGCACCAGGGGTGTGGGCAAAGGGTCAGACCCAGGTCCTTGGCAGACTACGGGAGTGCCACCTGTGGGCAGGGCAGGGCTGGGCAGCTTGTCACGCCCTCCACTGTCTTGCCCAGGTGAACCCACTGTCTGGGGACTGGCCTTTGGGGCAGTGGTGCTGGCTAACTGCAGCGTGCTTTGCTTCTGAGCACTCACCCAGGCTCCTGCGCCGAGTCCGTTAGACATAAGGAGGGACGGGGCAGCTGCTGCTAGCACTCCAAGGCAAGCTGGCACAGAGCTCGAGATCAAGCACCAAAGCGGGGAGGCAGAGGGGGAGACAGCAGAGAGGAGGGAGTGCAAAGGAGGAAAGGTGGTGGTGCGGAGGTGCACGGGGTGGAGACGGCACAGTGGGCAGGGGTCAGAGGTCGGGGGACCACAGGCCAAGACCACCCAGAGAGAGCAAGGGAGGGGCCCGCACCACAGGCAGCAGCAACCACAGAAATCCCTGCTTGGCTTCCTGCAGACTGCCACGGCCCTCCTGCGCTGGACGCCACGAGCGTCCCAACGTAAGGACGAGGCAGCTGGCAGCTGGACGCCCGGGCTGGGCCCGTTTGCAATTTGGAGTCCAGAGAAGCAGGACGTGAAGCCCTCTCACAACACCCCAGCGACAAATGTCTTATCACCATCTGGTGGCCCTCACCCCACCCTGGGCTTTTAAGAACCTACCGCTCAGGACAGAGGGCTCAGCTCCACTCTTGCTGGAGGACAGCGTGTCAATAACGTTCTCTACAAGGGGACAACACACACGGTGAGAAAATGCACCTTGTGACAGTCCGACAAAGCAAAGCCAACAGACACGCTGCATCTATGAGCTGCTGTTTCCTGAGGGTGGGAGTTCAGCTCCCTGCCTTTCACAGCAACTCTCGCTTCTTCTTTGTGTGGGACCTTCAATGTGAATGCTGGACCACAACGGCCCAGAGGAACTCAGAACCAGGAACCAAGAATGCCCTGGGGGCAAAAGGCTAAGCTAAGCTGCTGGGATCAAAGCAAAGCCTTGCCAAGCGACTTTAAGGAGACAGAAGGGCTGCCAGGGCTGAATAACCTGTGGGATTGGACTAACCCGGTTAAAGAGTGGAGATGTTAAGGGGGTGGGGTGAAGAGGTTGGGTGGCCAAGAAGGTACACAGTAAGGAGAGCTGGCAGGGTTCAGGAGGGAGGGATCCTGGCATGCCATCCGGCTGGTCCCAGGAGAGGCACAGGCTGGCCTAACCCGATGCCATTAAACACCCACATCCCAAACCAGCCCTCCTTGCTCTGCCTCTCTCCTCAACAATCTCGCTTTGCTCCAAAGCTTGCCTACGTGGATGACAGGTGCCGACACAGACCCCCGAGTGTCTGGTCCCCTGGGCAGTTCTATTTCTCATTACAGATTAATAAACTGGCACTCTATGGCAGGGCTCCCCACAGAGCTGGCCCGGTGGGGAGAGAGCAGGCTGGCCAGGGACTCCGGGACTAGTTCCTCGGCAGCTCAGGCCCTCCTCACAGACTCACGGACAGCCCCTCCAGCAGCACACAGTGAGTATCCAGGACCTTGAGACTGGACCACATTCTGGGTCACTTCTAGAAAGAAGCCCAGCTCATCCTCTCCTAGCAAAACCCAAGCACCGTGCCCCTTGTGGCGACATCTTAGCTTACTGTTCTACATCTACCGCTGGGGTTCTTACAGCTTCAGCTCTCCTCCTGAGAAGACAAGGGGTAGCGAGAACATTCCCAACAGTCTGAACAGTATTTCCCCTATTCTTCCTTCCTTCAATCACAGCTGACAACAGAGAAACACAATAAATGGTATTTTCTTCAGTCACCACTGAGTGAAGTTGCCAGTCACCACCCTAAAGGCACGTCAACGACCTATATCAATCCCAAAACAACAGCTGGCCATTGTGGTTCTCCAAACACCTGCGTGCCCAGGCACGGCCTGCTGCTGGGGCACTGGATTTCAAAACCCTGAGGTCACAGCCAGGCCACTGTTTTTCCCTCTTTACACACAACGTTAGTATAATCTTACCTGCTTTCTGAATGTATAGCTCCAAGACAAAAGAGACTACAGCAGCGAGTGAGGAGAGAGAAAATCCCTAACAGACAGGGCTGGGGGCCTAGGAGCTCGGCTCTGGGTGGGCCTCAGAGCCTGCAATGCGGGGCCAGCACCAAGGGGCCGGGGTAACACTGTAGATTCATGACATCGACACAGAGTCAACAAGGGGTCACTTCCTGCATGATCGGGAGACCGCCACAGAAGATCTTTAAAACACAGCTGCGGACCCACGGGCTCCCAGGACATCCTGGAGCAGATCCCAGAGGGCTGCCGCCGCAGTTCAGGGGACAGCCAGTGTGCCCTGCTGGGTGGCTGGAGTGTTTTGTTTTCCATTTTATTGTGGTAAAATATATGTATTACTCTCACCACATTAACCATTTCTAAGTGTATAATTAACGGCATTCACCATGGGGTGCGACCATCACTACTATCCATTTCTGAATGTTTCCCACCATCCCAGAGTGCTTTAGTTTTCTCCATAAACTGGGAGGCTCTTCAGGTCAACATTACCTGGAGCCCACAGAGCCCCTCACAGGTGAGGGCTGGTCCAAGGACAGATTCCAGGAAATATGTTCTAGTTTGAATTTGACCCGTACCTCAGCCCAGTGAGCTATTCAAGGCATTTGTCCTAGAGGCAAAAATAACTCAAATGCCCAGTGAGCAGGGGTCACCTGGGTCTGAGAGCACCTGGAGGGCTCTGCTAACGAAGGGAAGCCCACCTGCCCCTCTGCTCGGTCTGGGTGGGAGCTCTCACCCTGAAATGGAAAGAGGAAGTCACGCAGAAGACACATTGTTTCCCTCACCCCCGGCCCCACTCATTCTGTCCGCACGCCCCAGCTCTACCCCACAGGCTCTGAGGTGCTTTCTGGAAGAGGAAGAGGGAGAACAGTGCTGTGGCCTCACTGTGTGGCTGACCTTCACCCTGTGCCTCTGCATCTTTGACTTTTTAAGCCACCCACCAGATTTGGCCGTGAAGAACCAGCAAAGAGCAGAAGGCACCCATGTCCCAAGGCATCAACTGTCTCTAAAGAGAACACATGCGTAGGCATCCACTGCCTTACCTGTGACCCCAGCGCATTTCTGAAGACACTCCTCCTTGGTCAAGTAATTATTGTCATTTCCTTCACAGCCTCCATACACAAACTGTTGGCAGGACCCATCTGTGATGTTGTACCACCACCTGGGCAGGGAGGCCCGGCATCTTCCCACCACTTTTGAAACATAGCAAAAGTCTATAAAACACAAAGCAGAAACCGACTGGCATGGCAGGGCAGTCCTGGTAACAGGACACACACAAAACTGCTGGTGGGGAGAGGCACCATTCTCAGCTCCCCAAGGAAGAGCCAGAGGCTAAGCTCTAGCAGTTCCTCTGTAAGCTGTCTCTACAGCCGGGTGTCCACCAGGATATCTTAGTGAGTCCTTTCTCACACAGGATAGCAAAACACATCGCCTAACAACAGACACCAAGCCATCCAACTCAACTGAGCAGTGTCTCAGCCATGTGTTCATGCTGTCCCTGCCCCCAGTATTAAAGACAGACATACCCACTCTAGAAACATGGCTTCCAAAGGCAAAATATAAGACTCTAGGACCCTTCCAGATGTGTGCACACCCCCCCAAAACTCACTGCCACTGAGTCGATTCCAACTCATAGTGATGCCTACTGGGTTTCCAAGGTTGTAAATCTATAGAAGTAGACTGCCCCGTCTTCTTCCCACGGAGCAGCTGGTGGGTTTGAACCACTGACTTTCTGGTTAGCAGCCAAATGCCCTACTCACTATGCCACCAGAGCGCCTTCACTCCATGACAGGGGAAGTCAGTCAGAGGTTAGAGCTGGAGATGTGAGCTGGAGGGGGAAGGGCACTGCCAGGGGACTATTCTCCACGCCCCTCATACAAACCCTTCCTCACCTTTCCCGCCTACCCGTCCACTCTTGCTGTTCCCCTTGGCCCAGCCAGGCCATGTCACACTCAAGTTACTGCAGGAGCCCCAGAAAGAAGATTCTCATCTCTGCTCCCCATCTCCAACCCCAACTCCCTTGCACCAGCATTTGCAACTGCCCCCATCTGAGTACCCCAAGTTGGGCCTGGGTTTCAGGGTACCCCAAAAATCTAGACCCACTCTAGTACAAGGAAAACAAAACAATGTTACAATATTCCAGCCAGATCCATATGCCTCCAAAAAAGCCTACAGAACCCAGGGGTCTGCTTTCTTTTTTAAAAAGGGAGAAAGAAGCAAATCTTGGAGAAGCTTTTTCCTTAGGGGAATCAGAAGGCTAGAAAGCAAAATGCAGAGGAGTAACTTGACCATGTGTGCCACTGAGTCATCATCCCTCCTGGGATGTGTGTCCACTCTACCATTTACTGAAGGCTAAAAAAAAACCAAACTCACTGCCATCAAGTGGGTCCCCACTCATAGCGACCTCCATTGGGTTTCCAAGGCTGTAAATCTTTACGGAACTAGATTGCCCCAACCTTTTTTCCGCAGAGCGGCTGGTAGGTTTGAACCGCCAACCTTCTGGTTAGCAGTCAAGTGCCTTAGGCACTGCACCACCAGAGCCCCTCCACCTCTCGTTAGCCCCTGCATAAGGCCATTCCAGGCTCTGGGGGGCTGGCACTGAGTCTCGCACGGAGAGCTTGATACACAGACTTCCAATAATCGCAACTCAGGGCTGAACACTTGCTTGTATGTTGTTGTTTATCCCTCTCTAGTTGCTTTCAGGTTTACCTCACCAAGTATGGGATAACTTTCCAAAGTGGAGAGGATAGGACTTAGCTTCTGCTGTATCTCCCAAAATGCTAGCAGTAAAGGGTGCGAAACTAGATGCTCCACAAAAACGCTGGCCTGCAGGCTACAAGACTGCTGCTGGGCACAACAAAGAGCTCCCTACCGCACGCCAATAAATCACAGGCACCCGAACAGCAGAAAATGCAGGGCCGGAAGCAGGAAGTGCTCCATTATTTGGAAGCAATTAAATTGCAGTTAGGAGCACCTTACCTGGGTTTATACGAATGGAACATGTCCGAAAAGGTAGCTCAATGGAGACAAGAGGCAAGGTAGTGGTGTTGGGGGGACCAGGGAGTGATGCACTGGCCTGGAAACCTTCTGGGGACGATGAGAACTGTCTACGATTGATCTGGGGATGGTTACACGGCTCTGCAAATTTATTAAAATCTACTGAGTTACACACATAAAAGGAGTGAATTTTACAGGACATAAACAATACTTTAACAAAGCCGTTTAAAAGAAAAGTAGGGGCACCTTTTGTTGGTAACACACCAACCAGAACCAGCTGGGTGTGCACCTTTTGACAATGTGCCAATGTTCACAAAACATACCTAATCAACAAGGCCCAGGGTAAACACAGCAGAACAGACTTCTCTGTTGTACGATTCTGCCCAACCCACGATTTTGCCAAACGCTGGAAGGCGTGCTGCCATCAACAAGGCACAGATGAGGATGATTCACACAGGATCTAGTTATGACCCAGAACATCATCAAGGCAGAGCAGGGGATAGGCGCTGGGTCAGAGGTATCAGCAGCCTATCAAATGCCCTACCAAGCCTGGTGTAGGTCACCCCGCCTGCCTGAGCTGCTCCAGGTACAGGCTGCTGACAAATGCCTGAGGAAGGGCCCCATGGAGGGTTCCCACCACACAGGAAACTCCAGATACTGCACCGTGACCCACAGTACAATGGCGGGAGTCAGATGACTGTAAGCAAGAGTGCCAGCTATGTGCTCTGTGCCAGGGACAGACGTCTGAGGGTGCGTAAAGAGGGAGACAATAAGAAGTTATCTGGGGAGGGATGGCAGGGACCCTGGTGAATCTGACACTGTCCCAAATCTGGCCCCATCTCTATGGGCTCAGAAGTACAATCTGACCAGTGGCCTCAGGCTGGTCATGCAGGGGTGCTGATCCATGCCAACAAGGCACATGGGATGCCACAACCAGCGCTTCAATGAGAAAATCAACCATCACGTAGGCTGAATGAATGTCTATGTCCCCTAGCCACTGTGGAAGAAAGCTTAAAGGCAGCAGGTTGTCTGGGGCCAGAATAAGGGAAGGTGACTGTGTGATAACCACCAACCCTCTGCCAGGATCTCCCAGCCACACCGATTCTCACAGGAGACAGCACGGGACGGTACTCTGAGAACATGGCCCAGCACTGTCCCTGTGACACTCCCTCTTCTGGGCTGCTCCCGCTGACCAGTGCCTTGACAGATCGGTGCTGTCATTGTAGGTCGCAGGCCTCTACTGCAAGTTACAGCTAATCAGAACGATCACACACTGAGTTCATAGTTTAACCCTTTTGAGACTGGATTATTTTCTGCTTTGAATTTTTTGTTGACATCATGTGTTTTCAGTAATGGAAGGCATTTTGAAGGAAATGGAAAAAAAAAAATTTTTTTGAGCTAATATGGATTTTGATACAATTGTGTTGTTGTTATTTGCCGTGGAGTCGGACCCAACTCACAGCGACCCCTCCTTGGGTTTCTGAGGCAGTATCACCATGGAAGTAAACTGCCCAACCTTCCTTCCAAGGAGTGGCCGGTGGGTTTGAACGGCCAGCCTTCCAGATAGCAGTCAAGTGCTTTCGGCCCTATGCTACCAGAGCTCCTTTTGATACAATTAGTGGGACGCACATGATCTGTCATACTGGAGTTAGTGGGATAAGGTTCATTTCTTCAGGTTCAGCGTTATACAGACCCCCACCAGCACGGAAAAAGTGGGAGGGATAGGGACAGCAGTTTCCCACCAAGCCCCAGAGACAGAAAACGTAGGTTGAATTCACAAAGAAGCCTTATTTTTTGTCTCCTTGGGTGGGATGGAAGGGGATGGGGGAACTTCAGTGACTACTGCCCCAGTGCAACTTAGAAACGTTTCTTCATTAAGAGAAAACCTGACCTGAAAGCACAGTATGTCAGACACAACAGGATGCTGATAATCGTTCCCCTGGGATGGTGCATGGGAGCTCATTAAACCATCTCCACTACCTTGTGCACACAGGTAAGTCCCAACCATGACAGGGTTCCATTATGAAGCATCCATTGTTAAGTCGGTTCTGACATAAGTCGAACATTTTTTTTTTTCATTATTACTGCCTTTTATAATCAGTATCTTTATAAATCCAATCTTTTTTGTCTTTAGGGTCGGAAACATTACATACGAATTACAGATATGCTGACATCAGCAAAGTACATGCTGCAATATAAGTGCTGTTTGTTGTAACTAGAATACATTCTAAGTCAGGGATGGCCTGTATTTGAAATTGTCTGCAGTTAAAAAAAAAAAAAAAAGTAACCCAATATTTTTTTTACTCAGATTTGATTAGAGTAAAATGAAAAGAACTGTAAATAGCAGATTAATTGGTTGAAGCTATGTCCAAATAAAACCGAATTTAACCATGTTCATGTTCTTTGATGTGTATGAGAGCTCTTCTCCAAAATGACAGTCTCATTTTGTCACGAGCATTTAGTAACTAAAACCAGTGCTGAGCTGGATCCACTCATGGGAACTTCACGTGTCAGAGCAGAACACGCGGGGTGTTCATATGCTTGTCTGTTTTTAGTACAAGTGACTGGTTTGGGACAAGAGGCTAGCACGCCCAGCTGCTAGTCAAAGGTTGGAGGTTTGAGCCCACCCAGGGGGGCCTCGAAAGAACGGCTGGTGACGCGCTTCTGAAACACCAGCCACTAAGAGCTGACCTCAAGGCCAGTGGGCTCTAGCAGCTAAACGGCCTGTAAGCACCTGCAATGTAAACTCTGACACTAGCCTTGAGAAAAGTGGTCTCACAAGAAATACTGCTTTGTTTCCTTTTAGTTTTGCAGAAGGCAGTGGTCCTTGGTAAGCAGCCACGTATGGTTTACTATGCTACACCAATGTACTTCCTCTCTGTCATGGTTCTCCAAAAAGCTTTTGCAAAAAGCCAGAAATGCTTTTATATTTAAGATGGCCTCCATGACTTACCATCTGCCTTAAAAAAGAAAAAGAAAAAAAGAAAAAATATATATATATATAAGCAGTCCCCTTTGGGCAGATCAGATTAAAAGAAAAATGAACCAGATGACAGAGGACTACCCACCTCTTGACACCCCATGTATGGCCTTCCCCAAGCAGGATGCCAGGACCGTCATGGGCACTACCTCTAATGGTCACAATAGAACTGAATCACGTGGGAATACCCACACTTTGCAAACGAAAACACTGAGGTTTGGGTGGTTGAAGCTAACCAAGCAACAGAGTCAGGATCTGAACTCATAACAGTCTGATTAGTGAGCTCGGACGTGAATGTAATGACACCTCAGACAGACAGAATGAACAAGACCCAATATTAACAGGCAGTGGGAAAAACAGAACTGAAATAGCTTAAATCCCAAAACATTCCTCGGGGCCTCTGATACTGTTTGAGGGCTCACCAAGGCCAGGCTCTGTGCCAGGCCTCTGTTTTCAGTCACAGTCAATGTCAGGGTCATGGACAGCATCATACCGAGTAACTGGCCAAGGCCAAAGGGGATTTGGTTGGGCATATTTTCAGAAAGTTATTCCTTAACGAGCAAGCAATTCTGTTAAGATAAAAAGACATGCTAGTCTTAGAAGGGCCTTGGGAAGCAAGCAAGAAAAATTCGTCTCAAGCCCTGTTTGTATGCTCAAAAATGCTAGTGCAAAATTAAATACATTCTATGTTTTCAAAATGCAGACTAAGGAAAAAAGGAAAGCGCTGAGGGGAACCAAATTTGGGTGCTCTCTCTTCAGAATACGTAAGGCAAAATGGAATGCCTGGCTTCCGGAGGCAGTAATGATCTCTTGGAAAAGCGTCAGGATGGTTAAAATCACACATTATCAGAAATAGGAACTGAAGTTACACATTCCTGGCCAGCATTGGGAACATTAGCTGTTACAAAACTGCACGACAGACAGGCCGGACTTCACGAGCAGCAGGGAAAACGGGCTGCTGTGGTCCC